TAAAGCAAGTAAGTGTCTCTTCCTCCCATCCTTAAAAGATATTTTTGCTAAATGACATAAAGTTAAAAAGGCAAGATGGGACTTAATTTAGAGCTTTTATTCCCTGAGGTGTACCAAGTTAAAATTTTTTCTGGGAGAGTAAACCATGTTAGCTTTGATTTTCAAGCACAACCATTAACCCTGTCAAAGAAGCAACTCTACTTCCAAGTTTCTTAACAAAATGCTCTTTTTTTTTTTTAAATCCTAACCCTATTTATTGAAGAAGGAACAAAAGAAGGAGGGAGGATGGATGGATGAACAGATGGGCACAAACACCCTCTTAGCCAAAGTTTCAACATATTCCAGAATTCTTTTTGAATTTCTATCAACCAAAAAACAAATCAGATGAACTAAAATTTCTTTATGTATAAGTAACAATAGTGGAGTCCTTATTTTAACTCTAAACAGGGACTCCCTCCTACATTTCTGAGCTGCCAAGCCTTCTAAATTCTTCAAATCTGATTTTCATTTTACTGCTAGAAAAATCCTAATACAATGGTAAACTGTATCACATTTATTTTTCCTCATTCTTATTCTTTTCAATATTTTATGAACTTAAGAAAAATTATCTATGTTTCAGGGGTTCTGATACCTCTAAATAGCCCAGATTTTATAATACAATTGTAATATTTGCAAGATAGTATAGGAATCAAGGTTCATAATACAGAATATGTACTGTAACAGTGACAATTGGTATTAACATCCTACTTATCTCAATACTTGTATTACGAAAAATTAAAACTACCCTTCATACCTATAGCAAAATGAAAGTTCTGTTCTACATGAACTCTAATTTTTAGAACCCTCAATACTCCATAGCTATCAAACTGAAAATTAAATTTCAAGGAACAGTAATAACAACAAAAAGATGGGCACCTTCACTATAATTTGCAAAGAAACCCTGACTCTTTGGCTCCAATATTCTCCCCACCTCTGAATAGTAAGATAATGTGCTTAAAGAAAACATTCTTTCAGCAGTTATTTACATCAACTTATTTTTATCAGAAATCCTATGGGAGTTCTCCAGTGCACCACCCAAGCCTCAGCACTGTTTTCCACATTGCGTATGACCCTTGAAAACACAAGATCTTAAAAGAATAAAGAAAAGGTGATCTAATATTAATTCATTTTCTTCCAAATGAACTGCAACTACCATTTCTATTCTGGTACCCAATTTTGATCCTTTACCTTAGACATACCTAAGAGACATTCAAAACAAAGTGTTTTGAATGCACAATTCAATTTGCAATGTGGAATTGAATTGTGCAAATGCACAAATGAGGAATTATCATTTCTCCCCCTCAAACAATCACTATTTATATAATATTGCTTCTCTCACAAGGAGGAATCCATTACCATCAGCAAGTCATGTCCCTGCTTCAGCATCAGATGTAAATAGGATCAAGAAACAAGATCCCTCTCCTCCATTTACTTTTTGTTCATTCCAACCTCTGGACATACTCCTCAGTTCATTCCACTGGCCCACTTCATCATCTGCCACTTCTGATTTTTACCTTCTCAAGTCTTAGTGACCACCCTGGTGTTGTATTTCTCCAACTGTGTTATCTAAATACTACAGAGTGAGTTTGCTCATTTTACCCCCAGACAGTCCCCTCAGAAAACCACAACTTAAGGAAATGCATCTCCAACTATTTAATTCACAGATTTCAACTCATTAACCTGAAAGCCCAATCTTCCTCACATTCTACTGAAAATGTTTCTTTGACTTTTCAGTTGTAATCAAAAGTTGCTTTTCATAAAAAACATTACTCCAGCTGGAAAACATGGCTTGTACAAAGGTCTTTGGCAGAATGGCAAATGCTCTTACCCAGTCTTCATCTATGTAACAGTGAATCACTATTAACACAAACCAAAACCAACCCTGATTTTGTATTAGCCCCTTGAAGAGGCGAATTGGAAAAACACACAAAAATAAAGAACCTTCCCCCCACCACAGCCAAGAAGGTAAGCTACAAATGAAGGCAATTTTCATGGAAGAAAACATCTAAAGATATAGAAGCTACTAATCTTAGAAAAGGGGATGAGAGAGTGAGAGAGCAATAAAAAGAGAGGCAAAATCATTAACAGATAAATTAGAATTCCTTCTTCTCTATTAAACCTACACTTTAAAAACTAACTCTACAAGACAATCTTCTAAAAAGTAAAACTGAACCTTTCAGAATTTAAAGTAAACAATCTTTTCTTGATAAAAATTAGATTTTTTTAACTTATTTGGGGCATAATTATCTTTTAACCTGATATACAAAAATATCATTGCTTTTCCAAAATAACACTTAAAATATGAGCTTTTAAGTTTCACAATCTTAAGCATTAAAATTAAAAATCTAATCTCTTTAATGTCATATATCCTAAGCAACTCTGATTTAAAATTACTTCTATGCCATCATCTTCTAGAACTGGTTTGCATTGAAATCTGTACAATTAGTAATAACCTTCTTCCCTCTCATCTTTCTAGAGAGCCAAGGATGACATATCTCCTTATCTTCTTATTTGTTCCATTAGATTGACATATTTTGCCTCAACTGTCACCTTCCATAAAACTCTGCTTTCAGACATGAGTTAATTCATTTTTACTTGTCCTCAATGTTCTAAAGTAGTGATGTTTGACAGAATTAATACAGTGCTCTAGTTCTCTCTGTTCAACTGGTATTTAATTAAAGATCTTGAAGACTATCTTTCTCTCAGGTTATACAATTTTAAAGGACAGTTACTTCCTCCATGGACAGAGTGATAAGCCACATGGCAACAAAACTGCCTTCTTAAACTCTCCCATTTAACAGATTGCTTTTCTATGTATAAACTACCAGCAAGACAGATTACCACTTTATTTCACACTGGTTTCATTTTTCACATCTCTGAACCACAACTCTACTATAGCCTATACTCTCTCTTACCGTCTGAATTTCTAGAATTTCTGGGGTTTTAACACTCCCTTATATTTTTCATTATTCATTGTTTTTGTTTCACCTAGACCTCAAAAAGTCCTAATGGCCCGCATTTCATCTGTACAATTTCTTGAATCTCTGGTAACAATACAAAAGTCTTTAAGCAGTCAGAGCTACCTTGGAGCACAAACTAAAAACTCCCTGTTTTAAATTCTTCTGAATTAATATCTTTTGGAGAATAGCCATTCAACTTGCTATGTCATAATTTTCAATCCTAAAGCAACAGTGGTATTTCAATGACACTTGCTATTTATGACACAAATAATTGTTCTCCTGGCTGGTCTTCTGAAAGATAGCACTTCTTAATCATTTTTGGCCGTATCTGAACCTCAAGAGATACATCAATTTAAGCAAACTTTAGGAGCAATAAACTAACAAACAGACTCTAGGTGGTAGTATAGGTTATTTTTTATCATGATGCTCTTAAAACTGCAAGAATCAGAAGAGCCTTAAGCTTCTTTTTCAGACACTTCTTTATTATGAACTTGCAATATTTTGGGGTGTTTAAATTAACAAAATCTAATTTCTGCAGTTTGGAGATGTAAGAAGTGGATCTAAGTCCAGTCTTCCCAAAGGCATTAAACCTGGTTTTCAACTACCTCAAAGGCACCGTAGAGAATTCATTTGAGTAAAACCAACAATGAACAATCCTTTATATATATATAATGTTTTTTATTTTCACTCCTAGGGCACTTTCAGGTCTAAGTATGGAAAGGTCTTTCACCATAAGAGTGTATGAAACAGACTAGTGTAACAAATCCTACAGCCTGCAGGGTATTTGTCTGTTGTATTTGTCTATAGGAACTGATTTCAGGCAGAGAAAAGTTAACTATTGGTTGAAGCCACTACTCTGAACCAATTAAAACCAATAAACATTACCAAACTGCCAGGCAAAACAAAAGCAACTTACTTTCAAGTTGAAAAACATTTCAACATACACTTAGGTGCCAGGCAGCTGAAGCAGCACTTGTTTAAAAGTCCATTTATTTCAGTGTTTCTTCAACAAAGGTGGCAAACTGGTGATTAAACATTGAATAATCACATCAGGAAGATGCCACCCACTTGCTAAACCTCTGATTCACTAATAAGCAGGTTCAATGCAATTCATAACTTTAAGGAGTAAATTACCAAAGCCCTTTGCTTTACAAATTTCCCCCGCCCCCAAAATGTAAAGAGCATTCATCATATATAACCCGGCAACCATTTTTACTCTGGACACCTATAGACGGTCTCTCTTCCTCTTAAAATAGTCTCCCCCATCCCGCAAAATCTCACATTTAGACGTTCATGTGATAGAGACTAACTCCAACTCAGTTCCACCGGGTGAAAAGTCCTTACAACTTGGCACATCATAATTTTTTCCAAAATAAGTTGTCCTATTAAAAATTTTAAAACCGCAAAAGTATTTATTCTGGTCTTTTTACTATCTTCAGAGCCCAGTATGCCTAAGGATAAACACGACAGAAACTCCTGTAGTGCTTCAGAAATCAACATGTGTCACAGGCTCCCAGTTTGTTCGCCTCTAAGACACAGTTGATTCCTTTGTTCCTTCAGACTTAACAGCAACTCTTGATTAAAATTTGGAAACTATTTTGGAGAAGATGGGAGGGTTTGTAGAACATTTCCAGAGAAACCCTTCATAAAACAACAATTTCCACTAGTAATCAGGAGGGAACAGATAGAAGAGGAGAGAAAAGAAGCCTCCAAAACCTCCCGTCTCCACGGGGCTCACCTTAACCGTGAGCCCGGCTTCTGGCTCAGGGGTAAAGTGATGGTTGAGGCCTCGGGTCCAAGGAGCCTCTCGGGAGGGGAAGAACAAGTACCGGCGGCCCGGGCCAGGAGCGCTTGTGGGGACCGGCAACGCTGCCCTTTTCCCATTCACTTTCCCTGGCCCGGAATCCGGCGAGCAACACAGCAGGGAGGCACCCGGGCGAGAGGCGGGCAGCTGCGCCCAGCGCCGCCCAGGACGCCCCGGGCAGCAAGAGCGAGAGCAGCGCGGCAAGAAGCGCCCGGCACTCAGGGCCGAGAGGGCAGCCGAGCGGGGCGAGACGTCGGCTCGGCCACCCGTGTCTGGCCCGCCTCCGGGGACACAAGGAGGCCGCCCCTCGGCCCAGCACTGGCACGGACGAGTGGGTAAGCACGGGGCCAACTCCACAACTTGCTTGTCCCGCCGCCCGGGTCCCCCGACTGCTTGGGGAGATTCGGACCCGGCAGGAGGGGCGGGCTTTCCCCGGAAACGATTCCTCCCCGCCGCTGAGCCCACCCCGCGGCGGGCCGCGCGTCCTCGCCGCCCCGACGCCCCCGCGGCCCTGCCGGCCAACGCCAACGCCGCCCCGGGCCGTTTCCGGAGGCGCAGGCGGCCGCTTTCCGAGCCCCCGGCCGCGGCCACCACTCACCCGAGGCCGCCGCGGCTCCGAACCGCCGGCTCCAGGCTCACTCCACGAAGGCGCCCCTCCGCCCCGGCCTCCCTCGCGCCCCGGCGAGCTCCTGCCTCTGACCAGCAGCGCTGCCGAGCACAGCGGCGGACGCGAGGCCACCGGCGGGCGCGCGCGGGCGGGCGGGCGCGGGGCCGCGTCGTCCCTCCGCCTGGCCGCCGCCTCCTCCTCCGCCACCGCCTCCTCCCGAGTTCGGGGCTCTGCTGCAATGTCTGCGAGGCTGACTTTGAGCGCCTCGCTCGCCGCCCGCCTGCAATCGCGCTCCTCCCTCCGCCGCCGAGTCCGCCGCGGCCCAGTCCCTCCCCTCGCCGCTCCACGCCATTCAGCTCTTCAGCCAAGTTTCTTAACCCTTTTTTTCCCCTCCCTCCCATTGTCACCGGGCAGGCGGAAGCGGCTGGTGTCCCAGCAGCTCTCGGGAGCTGAGGAACCACCTCCGTTTTGTTGTTTTCCTCCTTGTGTACGCCCTCCCGGTGGCCGGGCGGAGGAGGCGGGAGGATCGCGGCGGCCGGGAGAGGTGGGTGCTTCACGCGCCCGAGCAGTTCTGGGCTCCCGGATCTGCCCAGCCGCCCCCGATCGCCGAAGGCGCCTGGACAGCTCCTCCCTCGAGCCCGAGGATTGTTTTCGTTACACAGGCCAAAGGCTCGCGTTTGGGGTACAGCCTGGGGCCCGGGACGTCCAGGGTACCCCCTTGGGGCTGGTGCCTTAGGCGTCTCCCTCCTCCAATTTCACCCCACACACGCATCCCCTTGGCTCCCTCTCACCCACCCCGAACTTCTACCACCTTGTAATCTGTATATCCTGCTTTAATCTTGGGGGTCACAGGCACAAACTCCAGGTCACTTTGACTCCACGCTCAGCACGTAGTAGGCACCCAGGAATAAATGTGGAGTGACTCCAAGACAAACTGGGAAGGAGACCTCAGGAGTGCCCCGTTCAGCTCCTAGCAGGGATGTAGGACCCAGGAGCAGGGTTTATCTTCAGCTGCTTTGTCACTGTGAAGTCTCCAGCGGAGTCTGTCAGCGAAATTTCCATCCCTGGGAAGAATTTGACCCTACAACTCGAGGCAAAAGGAACAGGGCTGCCACTTCTTCGGCATTTCTCCCCGCCTCAGTCTCCAAATGAGAAATAACAATTACATCACGAAGCCAGGGTGGCAGCGCTGTGGATCCTCTCGGTTCCCCGCAGCCTAATCTCGATGAACCTGCCTCTAAATTGGCACGGGGGTGGGGGGAGATGGATTGGTGAAGAGAGGAAGTGCAGGCCGAAGAGTCGTTCGAAACCATAATTTCCCCCTTCTTGTATTTAGTGTTTTAAAATCTTATCCTCATTGCTCCCCAAACACCTAACTAGTAATTAAAGCCCCTTCAACACCTCCCCAGATGTCAGATTTCTTTTTCACTCTAGCATCTATCATTTAGTAATTCTGCATGAAAAAAATTACCAGGGGAAATGAGAGCCGTTGCTGAAATTGTTTTTGCTTTATACAAAGACGCTAAAAGTACAATTTAGCCTCACCCTAAACTCCGAAATGGCATGCCTGTGTTAAAACACATTACACACAACAAATGAATGGATGAGGGACTCCATTCTTACATGTAGATTTTCATAACCGTAATGATTCTATAGCATTTGAAAATAGAGTTGCTAGTGCACTTAAAAAATAGCTATCCACGTCATAAAACAGTACTCTGTGCCTGTTTTGTAATGGCTGTATTGTGCTTTTAAAATTTCACCTAACCTTGAAAAATATGAATAAGGAAATACCTTCACAATCTTAAAAGTGAAAGCATATTTTCAAATTATTGCTTAATAAGTCCAGCACCTAGCACAGTACTGGGCACATGGTAGGAATATTTTGCCTAATTGTGATGGTGCATTTTAGAACAGTTACTTTACATCACTCCAGTGATGCAACTGTGCAATCTGTTGCCATCTTATATAGCTTAAACCTCATATGATAGCTTATTATTTGTATATATACAGTTGAAATTTGCTCAAGGCAATTTAGTAAAGTCTGCTGTTCAGTAGTGCATCATTTATCCAGGATTCATGCAAAGCAAAGTGAACTGTTTCAATTAAGTGAAGATCAACATAATTGGAGCTCACTCTTTTAAGGAGTCAAACTTCTTTTTCAAAAAACTTTTAACTGTTATACAAAGATTTTCTAAAATGTGTTATGCATGTTTTTGTTTTCCTAAGCTGTTTATTGGACTTCATTTGGCTTTTTCTTGAAACTTCAAGGTTAATTTTATTTAAAGTATTTATTGTAGTAAGTTGTAGTGGATTCAACAAACACATGGAGTTCCTTTTCTATATCAGGCTTCTTCCTAGGTGTTAGGGATGCGAACAGGAAAATTGTGAGCTATCAATGGTTGCACTGAAGGACTGCAGGATACTGTCTGTGACTTAGTGATTATCTTTGCCTTTTGTGTTTTCTCTTTCTCCCCATTCACTAACTGGCAATCTGTTGTCCTTTTTCTCTGTTGCTAGCGTGCCTGTTTCTAGCAATTTCCTTCTCTTCTGAATAGCAACTTCTAGTCTGGTGCAGACTGTGAATCCAGATAGCCTCACTTGTCACAATTCAGTCTAAAGTAAACCTAAATAGGCCTCTTGTAAGGGACTGATGTGCTCACCACGGAGTAAGATATATAAACCTTAGTGCATGGACTCTAGGACAGATAAATGAATTACTTAAATGTTGCTTTGTAAAGCATTCTTTTTGCTTCTCACTGGATTTTGGGTCACTGAGGTTGGTAGATAAACAACCTGGTAATAAGTGAGATTACACAGTTAACCCAACAAGCCAAGTATTGGTTCTGCCCTCCAACTCTAGTGTTAAAAAGGCCACTGACACATGTTAGATGGCTTAACAAAGCTACTCACCTCTTATTATTATTAATCTGCCTTCTTAACCCCACAGAAATCCAGTTATTGAAATCCAGAACTCTTTTTAGTAGTGTATTAGTGTTAATTGCACACCTTTAGTGGAATACATTTTTACTTAATCATGCTAATTGTGTTGGGGTTATTTTATTGTTCCTTGTTTTTGCAAAATCAATACCTGAATTTCCTGTCTAAGGGAGTCATTGCAAGGATACTGGGTGTATATGTAACATGAGAATGCCTATTCAGTAATTTGTATTTTGAAGACAACTCTCATTTTAACCAACTGTAATGTGAAAAAGATGTCCTTTAGTTTATATACTAAACACAGAAGTATTTTTATAAACCTAGGGTTCCTATGGCATCAGATACTTATAGTTCAGGTTCAATATATTTATCCATGAAAAAGACATAGTCTGGGAAAGGTAATTTTATGATTTATTCCCTGAATTTCTCCCATTGTAGCATTTTTCACACCATCTTGTGACTGGGTATTTCCTTGTCTGTATTCCACCACCTACCTCTATGCTCAGCAAACAGTAAGCATTAGTCGTTACTGGTCAAGACACTATCATAGCCTAGAGGACAAAGTTTTTATTTCTAAGTGGGGTATGGGTGTCAGAGAAGATTTTACAGAGCATATAATGCCTCAGCTGACTATTAAAAAGTAAAAAGAATTTGCCAAGTAGGCAAAGTGTGAAAAGGGTTCTCTGGAGAGGAAAAGACTATTTAACAGTAGAGATGTGTGAAGAAAACAAAAATATACATTGAGAAGTATTGAACCCACATTATATGCTATGAACTAGTGACTCATGAACTATGACAACTTGACAAAAATATATACACAGATAGAACTTGATGTAATTTGTACTGTTAGAGTACCTTAGCCTCTAGAGAAGCACTGTCTAATGAAAACATAGAAAGTGAACACAAATGTAAGCTATATATCTACTTTTCAATTTTCTAGTAGCTACATTAAAAAAATACAAAGGAACAGGTAGAATTAAATTTTAATAATATACTGAACCCAATATATCAATCAAAATATTATTTCAATGCACGGACAACATAACAATTATTCATTAGATAATTTCTTTTATTCACACTAGTTTTCAAAAGCTAATGTAGCTTTTACACTGATAGCACATCTCAACTTGGACCAGTCTAATTCAAGTGCTCAATAACCACATGGGGCTAATGGCTGCCAAATTGGACAGCGCAGCTCTAAAGAACCAATGAAATCTTTAATAATATAGTTAAAGGAAATTTTCTTAAACTGAAAATTTAATCTCATTAATCCAAGATTTCATTTGTGTTGATTACTCGTGTTTATCTATATTGTGTTGTAAAAACAACTTTCTTGAGTCTAGACTATTATGCCAATTAGAAAATCAGAAAAGTTTACATTTTACTTACTGTGTCTTCATTAAGTTAACCAAACTGTAGTTACGACTACTCCTATTCCTGTTAACTCCAGTGGTGGACTGTAAATATAAACTGGCTTTATGGCAGACATAAAACACTATAAATTTGAGGTTGAATAAGCTTTAAAAAAAAAAGTATTTCCTAAAACACCAAACTACCTCTATGCTAGTTACTGCCAAGCATCTTCCTGGCTGTAGAAGCCCAGAGTTTTGCTCTTCAAGTCTTCATGCCCACTTACTTATGGACTGTAAAATACCCCAGCCTTTGTTGGAGGCAGTCACCTGCCTGAAGCTACAGCAGTAAGGATGTGCTGCATAGCCAAGTACTGAGAAGAGTCTGAAGAGTTAAATGAAGATGTTTAGATATCCTGTCTGCAGGTTACTCTGCAACTTTCCCTAATGAGATCGAGCCCTTTTATTGTCAGTGGGGGGTGGGTGCCAAGGACTGGAAAAACCAGGGTATTCAGTTTCTGCACTAAAATGAATCCTCAAAACTGGATCTTAAGAAAAGAAGTCTGAAAATAATTGTGTACAAACAGCTGAAAGTATGCAAGAAAAAGACAGATACTTCAGTAAAATGCACATGGGGATTATGCCTTCTCATTCCCCAAATAAGAGAAGTCTAGAAGGGATCCAGAAATCAAAGAAATCCCAATGAATCTAAGGAAAATCTGTCAGTTTTGATGATGTGTCAAGTTAACATGTCTAAATGATTGAAAATAAATACTGCACAGAATCCTATCCTTTTTATAGGCTAGAAATGGGTTATATAGATCTCATTAAGCAATCTCTTTTATGTAAATACAATCATTTATGTAAGTCATAAATGAATACAAAATTTATTTTTGGTCTTTCACAAACATCCACATAATAAATCAACTGGATAAGACATAATCCTATTAATTTTTAGAGATTTATTCAGATAACCTTTAACTTAAGTGAAGTACGTATCTGTTCTCCCAAATTATTCAGAGATCTTAGGGAAAAAACTACAAAGAAAACATGACATATGTTTACCATTTGTGCAATTGTTTGACCCTCGAAAAAATTGACAGACTGACATATTTGTTTTAGATTTGTTTACTTTAAGAAACATAAAATTCTTAATGTAGTTTATTTACCTTTTCTTATAACTGAACTAAAACTACCTTCAGCCTCAAACACACACACACACACACACACACACACACACACACACACATGCATACACCCCTTAGATTTTATATAATTCAATGAAGAAAGAATGGTTTTTCAATAAAGGTGCTGGGACAACTGGATATCCACATGGAAGAAATAAAGAATTGGATTAGAAAGGGTCAAATACACAAATATGAACACCATACACAAAAATTAACTCAAAATGGATCATAGATCTAAATGTAAGAACAAAACTACAAAACACTTAGAAGGAAATATAGCAATAAATCTTCATTGCCTTGGTTAGGCAGAGCCTTCTTAGATATAACACCAAAAGCATAAGGGGCAAAAAGGAAAATATATATATTGGACTTAAAATCTTGTGTGCTTCAATGGAGACTATCAAGAAAATGAAAAAAAAACCCCACAAGATGGGAAAAAAATTGCAGATTATATATCTAATAAGAGACTTGTATCTAGAATATATAAATAACACTTAAAACTCAATAATGAAAAAACTACTACCCAATTTTTAAAATGAGCAAAGAATCTAAATAGACATTTTTCTAAAGAAGATAAACATTACACACATGGGAAGATGGTCCATACAGTTAGCCATCAGGGAAATCAAAGTAAAAACATGATATGATATCACTTCACACTCACTAGGAATAGCTATAATTAAAAAAAAAAAAAGAACAAGTGTTGGCAAGGATGCATAATAATTGGAACTTTCATACAGTGCTGGTGAAAATTTAAAATGTTGCAGCCACTTTGGAAGAAAGTCTGGCAGTTCCTCAGAAGGTTAAGCATAGAGTTAGCATATGACCCAGAAATTCTACTCCTAAGTATATACCCTAGAGAAATGAAAGCTCTATCTCCAGACAGAAATTTTTGCATTATTTTTCACAAAAGTAATATTGTTCATAAATCAAAAAAGGGAAATAATTCAAATATACATCAACTGATGAATGAATAAACAAATGTGGCATATCCTTATAATGAAATACGACTCAGCAATAAAAAGGGGATGAACTACTGATACATGCTACAACATGAATGAATTTGAAAAGATTATGCTGAATAAATGAATCCAGTCACAAGAGACCATATATTATATGATTCCATTAGTATGAAATGTCCATAAAATGCAAATCTATAGAGACAGAAGGTAAAGTAGTGATCACCAAGGGTTGGGGTAAGGTTTGGGAAGAAATGACGACTGACTACTAATGGTATAAGATTTTTTTTGGAGTGATTAAAGTGTCCTAAAATTGACTCTGGTGATATTTGCACAGTTCTGTGGAGATACTAGAAACCATTGAATTGTATGCCTTCAAATAGGTGAGTTGTATGGTACATGAATAACATCTAAATAAAATATTTTTAAGAAAACTAAAATAAACACTAAAGAAACTTCCTATCTTCTCATTTTTTTAAGAAAAGCCAAAACTACTGACATGCATCAGAAAACAAAGTCTGTAAATATTTAAAAAGTGCTACAATTCAAAACTATTCTTCCCCTGATATGATTTGTCAAAAGTCAGTATATATATCTGAAAACCAGAGAACTGCAGCTGTTTTATGATTCTTATATCACATAGTACAGTAAGGGCGAAAGACAGTTTTATCAAGAGTTGGTAATTTAGTGTACACCATACCAAGAGGGTGTGAGTTCTTTCTGCAATGCCAATGTGGAATTCCAGGGGTGACCTTGGAAGAGAATCCTGGACAAATAGCATATACCACTCACGTTCCACAAAGCCAGCTTTTACCAGATAACATAACTCAGTAATTTATAACCATTACTATTCCTACAAAGCTAAATGATTACTCCTGTTGGGTAATTCAGTGCAATATACTTCCCAAAAGCCAGCTACCTAATAAGTCTGATTCCAATTTGCATCAACTAGTAACTACATTTGACTATCAACTAGTAACTACATTTGGCCGTCAACTAGTAACTACATTTGGCTACTAGTAACAGAGACAATAAATAACAATGACTTACCCAAGTTAGAAGTTTATTTTTCTCCAATGTAAAAAAAGTCCACAAGTGCTTTTCTGGAGCTGGTTTGATGATGTCATCTTCATTAGGCACCCTGATTGTTTTTGTTTTGTTATTGTTAACTCTTGGCTTTCATCCTAAAGATTGCCTCATTATGTCAATCAGTTCCTGGAGATCCAACTATCAAGTTTGCATTCTAGGCAGGAAGAATATGGGTGGCATACCACCTTTTTAAGGAGTTTTCCTGAAATGACTGTCCAACAACTCCTGCTAACACTCACTGGATGTATCCAGAAGGAGTATGGAGTGTAGAGTATTTAACTAAGAACAACACTCAAATAAAATAAAAATTTTGCTTATAAAGAAGAAGATGAGACTTGATATTGAGTGGGTATGTTAGTTATTCATGCTGCGTAACATATCACCGAAGAAATGGTAGTTTAAAACAAGAAACACTATTATTCCATATTTCTAGTAGATAAAAAATTAAGGAACATCTTAGCTAGATTGTTTTGAAATAAGGTCTCTCACGGGGTTGCAATCACAATATTGGCAGGGTCTGCAGTCATCTGAAGGTTTGCTTGAAACTGAAAGATCCAATTTCAAGAACTTCCCTCACAAGGCTGTTGGCAGTAGGCCTTAGGTCTTGCCATCTGAGGCTCTCCACAAGCTGCTTGAGGATCCTGACAATGTGGCTACTGACTACCCCACCACCACCACCACGTGAGCTATCAAAGAGAAAGTAATGATGGAGTCACAGTGTGCATTATGAGTTGGTCTGATGCACACAGGATACTTCCCCTCCATCCTACTAATTAGAAGTAAGCCACTAAGTAAATTCCACTCTTAAGGGGAAATTCATCTTGAAGAAAGGATATCAAATAATCTGTGGACATAGTTTAAAACCATCACAGTAGATGATTAGCATTTTCTGTCATGATCTGCCCTTTTGGTTTTCAAAATCAACATGCACACCTTTGTTGTCATACATAGAATGGTCTCCCTGCCTCTCCAAGGGATCAAGACGTAAGTATCTTCCTATTTCTGCATCAAATGTACTGCCTAAGATTTCTGGATGACATGCCATTCTCTCCCCTTCTCCAGATAGGGCTCCTAGTAGTCTGGCAACTAGGATACTAAAGACACATTTTCAGCCATCAGCACATTTAAGTTTTCAATGGTGGAGAAGTCTGTCCTTTTGGAAAGGGACAATGAGAAACATTAGTCACTACTCCATGGTAATCTCAAAACCCACTGAGCAGGAACAGCCTGGAATCCCTGCCCTAACCACTGCAGGAAGTTCCTTGGTTGGCCAACCTGGCAGCTCTTGAATTTTTCTCTTGAATATTTTCCTTCATGCTTTGCCCTCTGTTCCTCCTGGATCTGCCCCTCGGAGGTTCATCTGTGTTGATTTTCCTTAACAAATATATCAGAGGAGGGCACATGGGAGGATGCCTTCTTGGAGACCTCATGGATTTTGAAATATTGGGGCACAGGGATTATTCTAAAGTTTTAACAGTCACAGACTGCTGCAGACTAAGTTTGAATTACTGTGGGAATATAATTCCTTCAAACATTTCAGCAGACTGAATTTGTTTCCATTCTGTTCCATGTACAAACCACCAAAGCCAAAGTCTTGCCCCAACATGATTTTTGAGCCCGAAGAGTCTCATCTTTTATTTACTGGGCTCTGTGCTCTGCCCATCCTTCTGGCCCATAAATTAATGGTAGCTGCCTTGAGATCACCTAAAATAATAGGCTTAGATGGGGAAGAAATACAATTTATCACCTGCTAGTAATATCACTGCCACTTTATGACAAAGCAAGAGTCTTACCTCCTGCTAAGACTAATTTCATGCCCACAGCTTAAAACTTACTCAAGTTCAGGTACAGAAGCAGGTGACTTTCTTAAAATGGCAAAGTCCAAATCACTGGGCTCTCCATCAGTGTCATTAGCAGGTATGGTCAGAGAATGCCTCACTTAGTAAATCTTTGCTTCTTTCCACTTCTGTTTCCAGGAGGTTTGGTTCCAGTCTGAATTCATCTAATCCAGAAGATTTTTCTAAAGATATGAATTATCACCAACACTATGAATTTGTTTTGCTATTTAGCTTAACATTATAGCCTCAGTCAGCAAATAGCCTGCTTTTTAAGGTAAGCAAATGATAGTTGAACCAAATATTTGGCTAACACATTGAAACTAGACCCTCACCACTTGCTACCCAACCCCTTCTACTAAATCAGTGTTAACCTGAACTTTCCAGAATCTCATTTCTGGTACCAATTACTACCTAGACCATAGTTCTTAGTTTCAGAAACAAAATAAACTCTTGCTAGTTCAAGTAGAAAAGGGTTTAACATAATATAATAAAAAATTTACAATGGTTTTTCTAGGACCCAGAAACCAACATTAGATGATTCTCAGGAGAAATGTCCAGCTGTACAATGAGACAGGCAAGTGGAAAGTCCACCTACCATCTGTCAGTTAGAACTAATGAAGATATGGACTAAGTACTAGAGCCTCCACTATAACTCTATAGAAAAACTTATCACTCAACCACCTTACTTACCAAAACAGCCCCTAGATTCTGCGTCTCACTGTTCATACCCACCTTCCATGTCTTATCTAGGGGCTTCTGGTTGGCAGAATCCAGTTTGCATGCAAACTCTAGCTTCACTCAAGTCTGAGAGATGTATATAACTTTCAGCTTTCCAGTCTCTAGTAAGTAGGAAAGCATGCAAGAAAAAGATTAGAGTGGTGTTTAGTGTGTCATTCTGCAGCATTGCCCAGTGGTCAAAGGTTTGTTTCTGGTAGAGAGCAAGACCCAAAGTTTCTGAAGCACATAAACTATTTTAGATTGTAAAATAAACAATAATTCATCCAAGGATCATTACATTTCGGTAAATTTTTCATTAATCATAATTACACTGTATTCTAGCTGCTGGAAAGTTGGTCCAGTGTTAACTAGTATATCATATCTTGATCTTGATGGGGTACAAAAAAATGTCCTTACTTTGGATAGGGCATCTTTGGTTTTAAGGAAGAGAGACTGTGCCAATTAACTTGAGAAAAAGGAACTTCTAAATTATAAGACACATGAAATCTAAGAAAGTGCTATCTCACTAGCCCCCAGGAGACCCTATACCTTTATTCCTTGTTCTCCATCAATAATGTGCCTTTATTCTTCACTTCTTTGGACTGTTTACTAGTCCAATTCTCCAAGGAGAAAATTTGATTTGATTATTGGCCAACCAGTGGACTACTTTTACAATTGTGTATCCACCCCTGGTCTAATTAGCCATAGGCATGAGTGGAGGTGAGGGAAAGTTCATTTAGTACAAAGGATTGACATTCCCAAGCCTGTGAATAGGGCTGGTAAAACTAGAAGGGTAAGATGGGTGTGGTAGATCAATAAACTAATGTTTCTAGTACAGTCATTATCTTTACATCACATAAATTAACACTTGTAATATTGTAACAGCATCATTAATCTTATTTACAAACTGTCTGCCTGTAAATTAATGCCTGTGTTTCTTATATACAAAATACATTAAACATATTCATTCTTTCACCAATTATTTATTGATTGCCTAGTAAGTACTCTGCGGTGCACTATATCAAATTCTCTTGATATCAGATGAACAAACCATGGTTGCTTGCTATGTGACACCCATAGGAGGAGACAGCTAATGTTTAGTTTGATTTATTCTTTAATAAAGACATAGTTAGGATGGGTGTTTTGGGGGAAAGAGGCTTTGGTTCATATTTGGGGGTTCAAGGAAAGGCTTTGTCCTTTGAGGAAGGGATTATTGAACTAGATCATAAGTGATTTACCACCATGCTTTGTTTCTTAAGGTGATCACTGATTAGCTTTTATAAGTGCTACTTAGTAAAACATCTCATCACCATATGATATTTTGCAGGTGCTGTTAAGGAAGCTTCAGTGATTCATATATTGTCAGTGTGTTAATAGGTAGGGTTAAATGGTATTTACCAATTGGAAATAGATTCAGATTCCTCCCATAGGGTAAAATTTGTTTTTCTAAGAGCCAGATGGCTTGTATATGTATCAAAACTTTTTAGATCCCTTAGTAGCAGTGGTTTATTGTCATTTCCATGATCTTTTCTTTGGTCTCAAGACCAGCCTTAAACACTATTGTGAAATGTAACAACCTTACCTTTGGTACCAATACATGTCCTTTTTCTAACTGGCTTTTAGTACAACTTCGTAATAAAATTGTATATTTATGCACCAATTTTATTTCCAACAGACCATTAATTGTTTCACGTACTGCTAAGAAGGAAGATTGCAATCAAATAATGACAGATGCTTTTTTATCACATAGAATTTTAATTTTATACTTACTGGAAAAAACCCTTTTAAGCTTACTTGTACATGAATTTTAAAAATCTTTTATCACTCTTATGTATAAATAAAAGGACAATATAAGTGAAATACCTTCTTTAAGGTATTGCTAAAAGGTTTCTCATTGAATCTGTCTTCCAAGAATCACTTTTTGACTCAATCATTGATGCCCATGTTTTGTTTTGTTTTTAAACACAATTTAATATTTTGTGCCATCAAGAAAGGATCAAGAAGCATTGATGATACAGCATTTCTTAAAATAATACTCTACTACTATCTCTAGGACTATTTTCCCAAGATTCCAGGCTCCATTGAAATTGTTTTGATGTAGATGCACTGGCAAATGACACTCACAGATAGCAACTGTAAGACACACTCCTATTTTAGAGATGTTAAAACATCAAACACTGAATCAGTGGTATGGACATAGAATCAAAGACATATTAAATTACTTGATAACTTCTATAGTGTTCTTGCATACATTGTGCCTGGAATATCATCATAATAAGTCAGGGAGTCATTGATTCTCACTTTACAAGTGAACTACTGGATGCTCCCTAAAGAAGTAACTTGCCACAATGACACAAATCTTATAAGGAGTACAGTTGGTACTCCAGTAAAACTGGGGTATTTAATTTAAATCCAAGTATCTTTCCACCAATTCATGCTACTTCTCATCATTCTTCTTAGTTATTCGCAGCCCTACACTATGAATCTCAGCCTTCTACTTAGCATTTATCCTCAACCATTGAAAAATTGAATCAAACAGTTTACAAACTACGCTCTACAAATATATTGATGCTCCAAGTTTTTTTGCTTTTCAAAATCAAATAATGGTTATCTATTCCAGATTTTCAAGGAAAAATAATCAACTATCACATAGTTTTCCAAATAAAAAATTTTCTCATATATTTCTTATTTAAGCCTAGTTTCTGCTACCATTTGACCATATTAGAATCTTGTTCCATATGGTACTGAATTTATATAAAACATATATAGTCATTTTTGATTTACTGCAGCAACATTTCAGGGTATTATGAAAAAAGCTTTGCCATAGTGCTTCATTTCTTGAAAAATACTGAAAACTTTTATTTCATTCATTCTTCTAGAGGCCTGTTTTTATCCAGACAGATATACCATGGCTCAGGTAATCCCTGCTAAAAAGTTGGCTAATTCATGTGTTGGACCTCAGAAGGAGTCTTAGAAAATTCACAAGGGGTGAATTGAAGAGTGGGAATTTGAGATATTCAGTAGGCCCAAATGAAGGGGCTAGTTTTGGCTAGTCAGTCTTTCAAATTTATTCAATTACAAAATGTGAGCAACACATTCAATTTTAGGATAGCCCTACCTATGATCAACACTTTTTTCCAGTCCATTTTGGAGGAGGTAGCTCGATTCTGCATCAAAGAATCAAATGTACATATTTTTCTATTCAGGAAGAAGCTGATGTACTTAATTATTTTTTCTGGGAAGTCAGACTGACTTTCACTACTTCAATGCCTTGTATGTTTAAAGCATGTGTAATTTAATCCTGTTTGAATATGTGAAGGATAACTGACATAAAATAGCAAGAAATCTCTCAAGTGAACTGAGCTATATAATTTGAGCATAAGCATTCTTAATATCACCTTTAAAAGAACTTGAAATGTATTTGATGGTGGGAGAAATTTTAGTATAGGTTTGAAAACTATCAAACCACATCTGTTTGTCTTCTCTATTTTGATTAAAACATGCTCACAGGGAAAATAGTGGTTTGTCACTTAAGTCATACACTAATGAAACATTTGCTAAAATAATCTATTTAATTTGGACAACATTTGGCAATAAAGTGCACTCATTGGACCATTTGCTGGTATTCTGATCCTTCAGAGTTAACTGGCACAGCTAAGTCTAATCTAGTAATGGGCACTTTGTTAAAACCTGGGCATATGCATTTCTCACGCTCTGTTGTGTTCTACTCTGGTGAAGAGAGATAAGAAATGTTATTGTGATGGCTTTAAAGGTTTTTCATTGACATAGCTAACTAAATACCATAAGGCTGCTCTGTCTCATTTAGTCATGTCTTGTTTTTATACATCTTATGGATCAAAGGCACCATGATTATATGGCTCAGGTGAGTAATGAAGGTTAGCAATATTAGTTAAGTTATCACAAAAAAAGAGTTGGTAATTAATGTTCAAATACTGTGTATATGCTTTTTGAATTAGCATATGGTAGTTAAAATGAAAACATAATACTTCTGCCATGTGAAACAAAATAAATCCAGAAGCTCATACCAGTAAGAAATAGAAATAACTCATTTTGTCACTATATACTATTAGTTTATAAAAATTACACTAATTGTTTTGGAATTCAAAATTGTTCCTGTTTCTAAACTGCTGTGTTAAATTTTATAAAAGTATGTGTATATGTATATATTTGTATACATACAGCATCCCCAAACACGCGTATTACAATGGACTTTGTGTGAACCTCTACCTTTGTGTTACAGTAAGCAAGTAAGCAGTGGACAAGAACGAATCAAAAAAGCTATCCTTTGAGCATCTTCTGACGCCCTCCAAATACAGAAGCATCACATGTGTACTTGGAAGAACTGATCTGGACATGCCTTTTAAGAAGATATAAGTAGGTAGATCATCATGTTTGAAAGCTTTCATTGATTTTGGGTTTTGTGCTATTAAAAGAAAAACAAAAGATGACCTTAGAAACTTCTGCCATTATTTTAGCTTGAGATGGCCTTCTTTTTTATTTTTTTTGTCTATCAAAAGATAGAGTCAGCTCAAATACCATTCTCTACATAAAACTCTCCTTTTTCTAGGTTTTTTATACTTCTTAGTTAGTAGTTACTTCATCCAGACTTGAATACGGCTGGATTTCCCCTGTTAGACTCCAAGTTCTTGGAAGGCAGAGACCCTATCAAGTATGGGAGCAGCTGAAGGCAGTGTCAGTGGGGATGGCATTTAAGGGGGTGTAATAGAGACACATGGCAGGGATGGCTAGTGCTGAGGCAAAAGTAAAGTTGCCAGCAGCAATAACAGTGGCAGGGGCTGAAGAAGCAGAGAATATGTAATAGAAGGAGAGCCAGAGGAGATCAGTGAGGCTGGCCTCAGGTCTGTCTGTTAGAGCAGACTCAGAAGCTAGAATGCTTTCCTGTGCCTCCTACCACATCATTGCTACCACCTAGAATTAAATGTTTGATGATAGCATCTAATTTTCTTTTTTTTTTAACCATAGAGGTGTCACCTAACACTGTTTCTCTGGATGAATCCTTTCCATTTATAACCCTAGATGCCAGAAACACAGTTTTTCAAGAATCTTCTTAGTTGAGTGTCAGGGACTGGAACAGATTGGTATCAGACTATTAAAATGTCAGAGATGATCCCTGCTTACCAGTGAATTGTTAAGAGACTATTTCTTTCTTCTTGGACAAGGATTCCCAGGGATTAGCACAGTGTCTGAGCCATATTTAGACCTCAATAAATATTTGTTAAGTGATTAATAATAAATAATATTTATTTGGAGCTTATATATGTCAGACATGGTGCAAAAATACTTTACAATATTGTGTCACTTCATAGTAGTTACCATTATTCCTATTTTACAGATGAGTAAATTGGAACTTGAGAGATTAAATAACTTGTACAAAGTTACACAGCTATTAAGTGGCAAAATTGGGATTTGAACCAAAGAAACCTACATCCAATATGTTACACTACCTCCCAATACCAAAAGCACGCAAGAATAAGTGACTGATTGTTCTACACTTGCATAAGAGACATTCTCTGGGTTAATGGTGCTCCAAGAGTACAAAATTGCTTAATGCAAGGGCAAAGGCTTGGGGCACCGCCTCTTATAAAGAGTTACTTTATGAAATTCTAACTAATTTTTGCTTATTTTCTACTTGAAATTGGATGGAATTCTCCATCAAATTTTCCAACTTTATTTTTAAATTTAACACATCTACATGATAAAAAGAAACTTAAGATGACAACTACTTCAGCAAAGAATGATAATCAAAAAACCAGATGCTACATATTTTCAGTTGCAGAAATATCACTGGAAGCCAGCTGTATCTTCTAAAATTTCATGATGTCATCATTGGCTTCAGGATCTATTTAGGTGGTTCATAATCTTATTAGCTTATTTCTGCTTCCAGTCATGCACTAGACTTTAATTGCATAGGTTTGTTCATAACATTGTTAGAATTAGAGTTCTGGTTTCATATTTTATGCAAGTATCTTACTGGATAGTGCACAAAAACTTGCTACCTAGCATAATACCTAGTGACCCACTGCAAATTGATGTCATTGTTCCATTTTTCTGAAGAGGTCATTGCTTCCTGGCATCAAGCTATCACATAAGTGACTCAGAGTCTTTGATCTTGTTCAAGTTTTCCCAAAAGTTCAGGTCTAGGATGATGATTTCAAAGTGTGATGAAAGCAAAAATGTTTCAGTTCATCAGGTTTCAATGTCACGGTGAAATTCACCATGTTTTCCAGGCATCAGTTATACTGCCAGGTTCAGAGAGATTTCAATTATGTTAGGGATGGAAAGAATTGTACATTTCCCACACCTCTACTCTGAATTTCACTCTCTCATCTCTTTGCCTCCAATTTTATTTACCTGTTTATTCAGCCTCAAATTTACAACCTTAGAAAAGGAAACAAACTACAGTCTTTCACAGTCACTATTCCCCTTTATAGAATTTTAGATGATACAGTGTCAGATATTTTCTCGGAGATCCTGCACTGGGGTCTGCTACTTTCTAAATCTATAAAAGTAAAACCACTATCAATTATTGCCCAGTAGAAGGGCCTTCTCCTCATGGCCCCACCAGAACTGGGTTGTTTTCTTAAGGAATGAATGGCAAATTATCTTCATAACACAGGACTCCTCCCTGTATCTACCGATTAGTTAGACAAAAATGAGACCACATTTCTTTCCGTCAGTGCCCTACGTGAATAAACCTATCATTTATATTCTCTTCTGTACAATGAAAACTCAATCTAAACTGTTGTAAGGGGATGAGGATGAGCTTATGTAACGGTTAAGTTCAGGTTAGGGATGGACTTATGTGGCGCTGGTTTAGTCAAGAGCTCAATGTCCTGCAGGTCTTGACTATTCTCATTCAGTTTTCTTGGCAGGACATAGCTCTCCACCCTCAAAGTATTAGCTTCAATCACAGAGACAAGATGGTGGAAACATCTCTTGACTTTAAATCCCCCAAATTCCTAGTCAAATGGAAAGGGACAACTTTGGTTCCTCAAAAGGATAACATAAATTTCCAAAATTAGTGTGATTGGATTTGATTGGCCTGACTTGGACCTGGGATCACTGGGAACCAATTACTGCTATTAGGAAAATGTGATGCTTTGATTGGCCAGTCCTGGATCATGTGCCATCTCTGGAGTCAAGGTAGCATTTTCTGACCAGGGACATAAGAACTGAAACTTATGATCCTTAAATAGATAAATCGGAAATAATTATCAGAATAGGATGAATGGATATGGGGCACCTACTTAGCCATATGCATCCACTAGAGTGCCCTTTCAGTTAGCCATTTTACTCCTTTTTATCTTTGGATATATTCCATTTCTTTCTTTTCCCAGTTCTTTTTGGCAAGCACACTAAATAGTCTCTGTTTTCTTTGAAACTGCTTCTGAGCAGTCATCTTACATTTGGCCTTTCTATATTCATCCTTGGGCCATGCCCACACAATTTTACTTTGTCCTTTTTATGTATTATTAAATTTTGTAATTGTTGTTTTCTTAGGTTACTGTCCTGAAACATCCTATTTCAACAACTGCTACTGCATTTATTTCTGCACTTTAAATTGCCTAGATTTAGGGACAAATGTTGGAATGTTGCATGAGTGGCCAACATTGAAATAACATTGAAATAGTCTTTTATGCAAATAATATTTTTTTGGTAGTAGACAAGATAAACCAGTGCTTAGTGGTAAGCAGAGTTCACAGATATGAAAAAATTAAGAATGAAAAGAAAAAATAATTTAAAATTATTGAAACATCTCATTTTAATCACAAAACTGAACCTTTTCCTCATAAAGCCTTTTTATATGTGCAATTAACAATAACAAATAAATTTATTAGAGTTTTGCCTCCCCTTTAAAACTATGCCTACTGGAGCTATTAATGAGAAAGAAAATGATTAAGAGGCAGGTGGCCGAGGAGCTAAGGATGTGAACCAAGGAGTCTAGATAATGCACGAGCTCTTGTGAGTGCTAAATAATTGATATCTGGGTGTAGACAGTATACAAACAGGACACTGATACACAGAGCAGAATACTGTTGTTACTAATGTCTCAGTTTACCAGCTACCATTCACCAAGAATGACTTTATGTTCTATTCTTACAATGATACAGTTCATGCTTTTGAACCAGCATATTCTAAAATGAATTTTCCTGGAGGACATTGGATATAGCTTTCTCATTTGGTCAAAGAGCCATTACATGATAATAGAATGGATACTAATGTCATATGTTTACTTCAATAGAACCACAATATATGACTTGTTAGTAGAATGCAATTTTTAAAGCTGATAATATTGCATAAGGAACTGCATTAAAAAAAATTGACAAAGTATACAAGGAAAGTCAGTTTTTCTCTGTCCCTCAGTTATCCAGTTCTTCTCTACAGGAAAACACACTATTAGCAGATTTTTATGTATTTTGCTACAGACAATCTAAGTATTTGCAAACATAATAATCTCTACAACATAAATTTATTATTATGTATGTATTTATAAGCACATTATTATGTACCTTACTTTTTCACTTATTAACATACATTTAAAATTTTCTACTGGTTAAATTACAAACAAAGGTGTTGAAAACCCTAATATGAATTAATTTGGAAAAACAGTATTATAACTGCTATGATAGTAGGCATTAAATAATTAAACCAAAACACACCTTTGACCAGCAAACACATGGAAAAAAATGCAAAATAAAAATCAAATGAGAAAATAATTTTTACCTATTGAATAAGTAAATAATAAGAACAATAAAATTTAGTAATAATAAAACCTTTAATACCTATAGTTAATTGCTGAAGCCAAAACCCGGAAATGTTTTTTGATTTGTTTCTCTACTCATCCATGTTAATCTTTCACTAAGGCCTGCTTTGTCATCCTCTAAAATGCACATATTAAATCTCTTCAGAGGATATAGCTAAGTTGCAACCAGATTCTTGACCCACAGAAACTGTAAGATAATGTTTGTTGTTTTAAACCACTGTGGTTTGGGGCAGTTTGTTACATGTTGATGTAACATCTAATAGCACCAATATAATTGTACAGATGGAACCAATACACATCTAATAGCATGTTTTTTTTAATAGTTATGGTACTTGTTAAGCTTTGTAAGTGACCATTGTGATATTTGTATTGATCATGATATTTATTTAATGTTCATTCACCTCCTCCATTTAAGCCTTATACCCAGAAGAGCAAGGTCCCCAAAGTATCTGTAGCATTTATCATAGTTCATGATATTCATTTGTTGAATAAAAGAATTAATAAATGAATTGATATTCCATAGGTGCTGCTGAAGACTTAGTGTCAGCTGGTATAAGCTTGTCTTCTGCAGGCAACTTTATCACTTTGC